ATCGTCTTTCGGGTTTCATTACAGATTTACATTAATCCTTATGAATAATCTGCATTTGATTACTATAACAAAACAGATTTTTGACACCACATCATCTTTCGRGTTTYATTACAGATTTACATATCTTGCACCACTTACTATAACAAAACAGTACCTTCATTTTCATTACTCAAARACGGAACATCATCATCGTCAAACTCAGCAGAAACTTCGTCCGTAATCGAGTCACTACGCTCAGGTATTGTTTCATTTTGACGAATGCACCCATCATCATCCCTAGCTGAGTAATTGCATTTATCTTGTGTTGTACCATCATTAGTACCGTTACGTTTACCGTTAATGCCATCCATTTCATCAAAAATATCCTTGACGAATGTTTCGTTGAAGGAGATGAGATCCATAGGATTATGATGAAATATTATTCTAAAAAATGCTTCCATCGATTCATCATTATTGTTAATAGAAAATTATTATTTAGTAATGTTTTAATTACCATATCAGTTTCRGTTATTAATAGAAAATATATGGATTCATAATTAATAGGATATTTATTGATATTATTTAAAAATAATAATTATTATATAAAATTAACAAATGACAATATTAACCTTTTCATTTAAAAAATAAATTAAAACAAACAAAATTCATTGATTGGTTGAGAGAGAGGTTGCATGGGTTGTATAAATAGGGAGGGTTGTAAAAGAAATATACCCTATATACACGTGTGTGTGTATATATATATATATATATATATATATATATATGCTTGTGGAGTCGTACCATAATTTGCTATATTATGGTCTTGTTTGGACTGCCACCATTACTGTACCGTTGTACAGAAGCTTGATCAGTTTGTAGAAACTCATCTAAGAAGCCTCATGCTTATGTCATGTATACATACATGCACATATATCTAAATTTTTTTAAGGAAATTAATTGTATGTTTGTTTTTCAAAATTACCTTTTAATACCTCTGAAGTCTGATTCTTTCAGACGTTTAGGTATTAAGAATGTTTTATTTTTAAAATAAAAGCTAAAAAACTTTAAATGTCTTCTGAAATTTTAAGTGATAAATGTATCACTTAATACTTCTTAATCCTAATCCGCCCTCTATCATATGATTCATATTTTCGGGGTTGAAAGAGATTTGTTAGTAAAAACTATTCATCTTTTAAACTTTTGTAAAAATTTATTTATCTTTCATATTTTTGCACTAGTTTGACCGATTCAAATTTCAGATTTAGACATAAAAACAAACAATCTTACCGATCCAGATTTCAGATTTCAAGAACACCTCTTATAAATCAGAGCGAAATCAGACTTCATCACCTCTTAAAAAACAATCGCCACCTAAATCAAATGACCATTTCCCTTATTCAAATTGTCTTGCTAACTATATTATGGTCGTGTTGGACTGCCACCATTTCTTTTATAAAGATCTTTGTATATGTATGTAAAGCAAATATACAGACGTGTCGAGTTCAACTGCTACTTAACAAACGTACAGTCAAATACTTATAAAAGATTTACTATTTATAATCACGACCGATCTACCGTAATTTGGGTTGGGATATGATTTGATTAGCAATAAAATGAAATTAAGGCAATAGTAGAGTGATAGGTTTTGAGGAGACAACCAAGTTAAATTAATATTACTTGCAAAGTGTATTGAGACATTTCCATATAATTCCTTGTTAAAGTTAATGTAAAACACACATGATTTTGGGTTTGAAGAACACAATGAGTAGGGTAAGAAAAACATGACCACCCCTCTTTTAACATATATTTGCTTTTTTCCAAAGTCAAACCATCGTACGTGAACTATTTATGTAAAGAAACGAAAAGGGGTTTCGGCAGCGAACCCTGTTTACACGACAAGAAACAAAGTTAATTTAAATGAATGTATATTAATTAATATAACAAACACGAAAACTTGTCAAAATTAGGAAAAAATTGGTTGTGGGATTCTAATTTCCCAGTGTTTGCCCCCAATAAAATAAACATGAACGCCCCCACTTTCAGCCCGGCCCATAATTCATTTAGCCTTCCAAGAATCCAAGTTCCACAACTTCCACCGTTCCATGGCAGCACGACTTCACCTTCATTCATCGGCCACCATCGCTTTCTTCCTGCTTCCTACACATCGCCAATGCTTCGTGCTTCGTGCTTCCTGCACATCACCACTCTTCCCTCTTCCTCTGCCTTCGGCCTTCCTGCTTCTAGGCTCCAGCTTCCTGCTTGCTTGCTTCTTGGACCTGTAGTGCATCGTGACCGTGCACTGCTATTGCTTGCTTCCTGCGGCTGCAACTACTATACTGCTACTCCAGATTGGGTAAAAACTTAAAGTTTTGATTTCCAATCTTTAATTTTTAATGACTTTAACTTTGTTGTTTGCTTCATAATTGGTGATTTGGTGAATGCTTATGTTAGGTTAATTTTGTAATTTTATAGACAAATGAAAATGTTAGGTTAATTTTGTAATTTTGTAGGCAAATGAAAATGTTACTATTGATAAAGATAAACCATCGATTTTCATCTTATATCATTCCCCCTACAATAAAATTTTCTGCATCCGCCACTGTTTGTGTGTGTCCCCTCTTTTCCAACTCTTGAAGTGTCGTAATCAAGTTCAATTGTAGTTACATATGTAATTATACATATACGTTGTCTACGTATATGCATATACGTATGTGTGCATATTTATGTATTTGTATGAATGTATGTACCGGCTTTTTGAAGCAACATGATGGTTTTATTAGATTTTGAACATTTAGAATGATAACATCAATTAAAACATGCGCGTAAGCCAGAATGAACCCAAAACCGACATTTGAAAAGAATGAAAGAAGAGTCAAAGGTAAAGAAAAATGATGGTTAGGTAAAAGAATCAATCCAAAATAGTGAAGTGATAATGAATGATGGAGGTGTGAAGGAAAGAAGTAATAAGTACATGTAAAATTAATTCATCCCTCAATGGAATTAATCCATCTTAAACCCATGCTTTATCATCAACCATTTTCACACCTCAAACCTTATCCTAGTTTACACCCCATATTTTGTTTGGATGTTTATGTGTGATTAAAGTAATTGGAAAAGGATTATATATATATATATATATATATATATGGTATATTTCAGATACAATTCTATTTGTACAACTAATGTAACCCAATGAATTGAGATATTTATGGAAATGATGAGAGTTTATTTATTATGATTTGAATATTTATGGAAGATGATTAAAGTTCATTAATTATGATCAATATTTTATATTAGAAAACAATCAAAACTTTTATGAAATCACATATTCATCAAATTAAATAGATGGTTGAGATTGAATTATATTGCTTGTACAAATGTAAAAAGATTATTATGCAATCTTTTTACATTTGTACAAGCAATACAACTCAATCTCAACCGTCCATTTAATTTGATGAATATGTGATTTCATAAAAGTTTTGATTGTTTCTTAATATAACGTATTGATTATAATTAATTAACCTTAGTCATCTTCCATAAATATTCAAATCATAATAAATAAACTCTCATTATTTTCATAAATATCTTAATTGATTGAGTTGTATTGATTGTACAAATATGATGGGTTGCATTTGAAACATCATATATATATATATATATATATATATATATAGATTGGTTATTATACAACCCTTGACATTCGTACAACCAATACAATCCAATCTCGACCGTACATTTCATTTGATTAATATGTGATTTTATATAAGTTTTGATTGTTTCCTAATATAAATTATTGATCATAATTAATGAATCA